TGCGTAGCGAGATGGGCACTATTCTGTTGTCGGCGCTGGACCGCCAGCAAATCCAGCACTCCTGCGTCTCCGTGCTTCATGAGCTGCACCAGGCTGGTGACTGGTTCTCTGAGGCAGGAGGTGTATTGGCTCTCGAAGACTCGTCCCTCGGTTTGACGTGGAGGGAGGGGACAATTCCCACGCTGATCGCTTAAGTGGAGAGTGAATGGTCTGACGTTGCAATGTTGTCCGTTAACACCAATGGCATCAAACGCAGCGGCAGAAACTTCATCGAGAAAGTCGTTTCCCAGTACCACGTTGTGGGAGTCCAGGACACCAAATTTCGCGATGCTCATCACTTGTCCAAGTTTTCTTTTCATCTCTCATCTACTACCCAACATCGACTATTTATTAGCGACAAAAATGCTTCATGCCAAGTACAAACCGGACCACGAAGCGGCGGCGTTGCGACTCTCCTACATCCAGACTTGCCTGGTGTTGAGAGGGCCGAGGAAGTTTCGACGGTGACGATACCTGGTCGCTATCTCCTTGTTCATATTCGAGGCCCATTGCACTCGATTTACATTCAAAACGTCTACGCTCCGGTGCGCCCGCACGAACGAGCACACTTTTTCCAAGGTCTGCCGACGCAGTTTGAGCCTGAGGCGCACCATGTCGTGCTAGGTGACTTTAACGTCGCGGTCGATCCTATTCTAGACTCACGTGGGGTCACTAGTGCTCTCGATCCTTCACGTGGTCATTTGCTCGGCTGGTTGGCTACTTTACGCGTGGCCGACCCGTGGCGTCTACGATTCCCGCAACGGCGGCTATTCTCTGGCCCACGTCCGAGGATTAACCGCCTGGACTACATTTTCGTTTCTGATGAGTTGGTGGAGTCATCGTTTGAGACGACTAAATACTTCCAAGCACCATACAGTGGAGATCATCTCGCGGTCCGTTTGGTTTTAGGCTCACCACGGCGGCGTCCAAGCCCGGGATACTGGCGTCTCCGCCCTCAGACACTAGACGATGACGGTGTCCGTCGTACTCTCATCCAGGAAATTCACCAACTCCAGACGACAATTTCGAGTGCGATTAGCCCGGGTCTAGTATGGGAAGGATGGAAACGTCGCATCAAGTCCCAACTTCGGCTAGCACAAGCCAGCCAAGGAGAGCTTACCAAGGATCTACTCGCGGGTTACCGACAGCAACCGGCTGACGCCGACCGTCGTCACGCTGCAGATCCTTCGCCAGAAAATGCTGCCCAATTATCCGAGTGTATCACAACCGTGGAATCTCTGGAACAAGATATCAGTGATCGACACCAGGACAACGGATTTGACTTTGACGCGCGCCAAATGGAGGCGTCTACTTCCTTCTTTTTTCGACTGCCGAGTGCCTCCTTGCGCTCTACATCGATTCCCGGTGTGGTAATGGAGAATGGCAGCGAATCGGACGATCCTATCGACATTAGTGACCAATTTCGACGACACTGGGGTGATATATTTGGCGACGAACGCTACTCCGGCGATGACCCGGTCGTTAACCATGCAGCGATGACCAAATTACTCGATACTATTACGAAGACCCTTTCCCCACCTGCCGCAGCCGAACTTGACGCCCCGCTCACTGCCGTGGAACTAGCCGCAACAATTCGGCACCTCCGGCGTAGCTCAGCTCCTGGACTGGATGGGCTTGGACCAGCATTATACCAACTAGATCCTGACGCGTTCGGAGCTGTATTTGTTGTTGTTTTCAAGCATCAGCTTGGTCGTGGTCAACTGCTTGCTTCTCAGCGGAAATCGTCAGTCTCTTTGCCTTACAAAAAGGGAGATCGTCGACATCCAGGCAACTATCGTCCGATATCTCTGATGCAAGTGGATGTAAAGATTCTCTCGAAGGCGCTAGCGTTCCGTCTCCAGCGTTATCATCCGCTACTAGTGCATCCGGAGCAGAAAGGGTTCGTGAGGGGACGATCCCTCCATCACCATGTCAGAATGTTACATGACATCCAGGAGCTCCTCCAGCGTTGCGGTCGGAAGGGCTACGCTCTCTTCTTGGATTTCGCAAAGGCCTATGACCGTGTCAATTGGGATTATTTGTTTTGCGTATTGGAGAAATTTGGATGTGGTCCTGCATTTTGCAGCTGGGTAAAACTTTTATATTCACAAACAGAAGCTACGCTTTCACGCAATGGAACACTTCAGGAAGTGCTGCGACCAACTCGGGGGGTCAAACAGGGCGACCCACTCTCTTCACTCCTTTTTGTACTAACTATTGAACCGCTTGGCAACTTACTACGCACACTTCCTGAAGTCGGCATTCCTGTTACACCTAGTTATGTGAGCACTGGGCTCTATTTTGCAGATGATTCAACGCTTTTGTCGACATCGATTAACGGCCTCCAGCGTCAAGTGGATCTTGTTGAACTTTACTGCGCCGGTTCTGGAGCTAAGCTGAACCTGGACAAATCGGAACTCGTTTCCTTTGCGGGTGACTCCATTACGGCGAATGCCACTCCGTTTGGAGTCGGTTCATCTCCGTCGGTGGTGTATCTTGGCGTCCCAGTTGGTCCTGCAGTTAACCTTGGTGAAGTGTGTTCCTCGCTCGAAACTAAAGTCTGTACTAGATTAGCCCGGTGGGGAGGGCGAGCGCGAACATATCGTGGTCGGCTTTTGATTCTCAACGCGATGGTACTCTCGGTCTTATGGCATTTCACTCCACATTTCTCATTACCAGCGGCCACAGTTCGCCGGCTACAACGACTGTGTGAACGGTATCTCCTCACTAGACGAAGCGACTCCGGCCGACATTTTGTGAAACTAGCTAAGCCCAGTATTTGCTATGTCTCGTTTAACCGAGGGGGGTTGCAAATACCTGACTTGGAAGCCACCGGTTCTACGCAACGTACGATGATACTCCAGCAACTCTTTTTGATGCCATCTGATGAGCCGTGGAAAGCATGCAGCTCAGCGCTCTTGCACAATATTCTGCCTCAGGAATTGAACCTGACGCTGTTTGACTTTCTGGCATGCCCGTTCTCACGCCGCCTACAAATTCTCCCCGTTTCTACTATTCCTACGTGGTGGCAGCATTCGTGGTTTGTATTCGCCTCATTACATCATCTACAGCTTACAGATGATGAAGATTTAGTGTTCCAGCAAGAGGCGTTACTACACGCCAATGTCTGGCACAGTGCGCATCCATTGCTTCAAATTCACGTGGGGGTAAAAGACGGTCGCTGATTCGAGGTGCTGGACGCAAGAGGCGCTTCCGCCTTGCATTTGCGTCCGCAACGGGCTGTCGATGCCTCATGGATTTTTTCTCGATATCTTGGCCAACTGAAGTGGACTTTTTAAGTAGATTCCTGCTTGTTCTGCCCGAGTGGGAGCTCCGTGTTAGGATGCGGCAGCTGCAACAACTGTACACGGACTTAAGCTCCATCGTATCCTCAATTGTGGAGGGTCACGATGTCGTTTTCGGTCCTGTTCAGCGTAATGCCACAATTTCTCCCATCGGCAAGCTTTATAAAGGCGCTGTTGTCTGTTTTCCCCATCTCACCAAGGAAATGGTCCGAGATAATGGCTCAAGACTAATTATCACCCGCGAGCACCCTATCTCCCACCACAATAGCGAAGTTTCCCACGCCACAATCCTTACTACGGTTCAGGTCCTCAAGGACGCCCGACGGGTTCTGCTACCTGTATACGCGGATCTGCAATTCCGGTTAGCGTGGAAGCTTCTCCCAACCCGGTCTCGATTCTGGTTCTTGCAGCGCCCCTCCAATGAGGCACTATGTTGCGCATATCCGACGTGCTCTTCCATTGAAACCGAACGTCACTTGTTCTTTGACTGCCGCCGGGTTGCAGCTCTTTGGCATCTCATTCGTGCGGATTGGAACAGGTTCATTGTCCACATTTCGTGGGACATCATATGTGTAGCAAGCGACCCCGAGTGGACGACTCGTGTACGGAACAAGGCACAAGAGTTTACCGCATTGTGGACGCTAATGCGTAGCATCACACTGCATGCAATTTGGACGACTCGGAACAAACATATTCTCGAAGCCGGACCTCCGCTGCAAGCGACAACGGAGGTGTATCGAGTTTACTCCATTTTTAGTGCACATTTTCGGGCACTGCACCGAGACTCCGGGCCTACAGGACGTTCACGGCTGAATGAATGCCTCCAACAATTTCCCCAACGCTCACGCTTGGGACGATTTATTGTGTCTAACCCTCGGCTTTTCAATCGTCGCGGGTCCAGGCTTGTCCTGGATCAAAATGGCCTACTTCAGGCCTCTGTGGATTCTTACGCTTCGGCGTAACGTTATTTATCCTAATTACCTAGCAAGTTCGTTTTGTAGTTAATGCCCGCTCATCGAAAAGTCAATATAACATAGCCATTGTTTTCCCCCTTCACATATTTTCAGTGAGCCCAACGCATATAACGTATTCTTTCGAATGAAGTACCCTCCTAATACTATACCCGCAAATGTTGTTCTTGCTAAAAGCAATATGATTGCAAAAAATCATTTTTACACAGGGTATTTCTTACAAAAACCGGTACCATATAGCGTACCGTTTTAAGAAACTTATTAAATTTGTAAGGTAGTAACCATTTAAAAGACGATGACGGCCACCTCTACATTAAATGTACTCCTTCATTGTTCTATCTCTTTTTTAACGACACCAGTTTGCTTCGAAATGAGCCACTACATCGGTCCAATAGCTATCATTTTTCTTTTTGTATGTGTCTCTGTTTCGGATTCCAAGAGGCTGTTTGGGGCTCAAACATCCCCGACAATGGTCAACGAAAATAGAGGAATCCCGGGCTGGAACAAGATTGCGTCGCCGGTGAAGACAAGAGGAGTATCAGAATTCGCTAATGCCGTGTTTTTATGAACTTGATTGTCCACGAGAAAACCTGTTGACGACGCATTTGCGAGTCTGAAGCTTAACCAAGGTTTGAGTAAAGCTCTTGACAACCCAAGCCTACCGCTTATAGGCAGGCATGTGGACATGTTCAACAAGAAGAATCCTGACAAGCAAGTGTCGTTAGTCAATATGCTCTCGACGAGATATGGAGAGAGTGCAGTGGCCGAAGCGCTTGTACATGCGACGAAGGCCAAGAGATCGATGAAAATCGCATCACAGCTGCAGAGCCAGCAATTCGAGAATTGGTTGCACACGCACAAGTCTGCTGATGACATCTTTGCGATGCTAATAATCAGTCACGATCCGACTCCAGCTATGATCGACCCGAAACTGTATGCGCTGCAATGATACATTGACGTGTTGAACCGGAAGAACCCCCAAGACCAAAAGGACGTGTTCACTGTCCTACGAAATGTTTCTGGTGATTACTAATTCGCAATGTGGATTACATAGCTCATGCATGGTTCGGACACGTACAAAGTCTCCACATATATTTTAAAAAAAATAGCTGTTTGCGAGATGGTACGAAGAAGGCGTTGCTTCAGTAGGCATTCTAAACCAAGTGTTTAAGGTGTCAGACGACTACCACATCGTTTCACTTTTTTAGAATTCAAGGCCTAATTTGCTGAAGTTCAGGGAAAAAAATCCTAGTTTGTCAGATTCAGGTAGCCATTCCTGATGAGGTAGCGCATGGACCAACCAGTGCGCTTGGTTGTCTCGTCCGAGTGTCGCCACGTCCAAAATGCCCAACCACCTGTAGTGTCCGCGTTGTAGTAGGCGAGTTGCTTTCGTCCCAGCTCGCGAAAGTTGTCGATGTTCTGGAAGATACCCCTCGAGTCCGGAGGTCCACCCATGCACCATTCACCGAGGAAGAGACGATTGTTTGTTGGAGCTGACTTCAGATGACTTTGATCGTACTGGTCGACTGCCGCGAGCACTTGCTCCTCCGTATTAACATCATAGCCCCAGATAAAGTAGGCGTGGATTTCGTTCCACACATTCGTGAACTGTGGTGCACCAATCATCCCCTTGAGATGATCCGGGTCCTGATCATTCAGAAACGGAGTTACTAGAAGAATGCAGTCGCTGCCAGTGGCGCGTATCTGCTTGTAGGATTCGATATTGTGGTGTTGGAAATCCCACGTGAACTCTAGCTACAGATGTAGTTAGAATGTTCCCACAACAATACGTCTACTAGGATAGTAAACGATCGTTCGGGCGGACCTGAAGACCCCAGTTCTGCCCTTGCACCGGGACAAACTGGACCTTGTAAACTACTTATATAGGCCAACCAGTAAAATAAGAACACGCTACTAGCACGAGCAAAGCTAGCAGGTGTTTTGAATCCTCGTGGTCCCAACAGCGGAAGGGTACCAGGCACGGGTAAGCCTTTTACGAGATCACCGAGTGTTCAACACTCGGCTGGAAGAAATAAAAGGGAGGCAATTCAAGCACTCTTAGTCGTGCAAATAGGCAACAATAAGCCGTCACGTAAAACCTCCCGATAATAATCGGCCAATACACAAAGTCTCTTGGCCTTGCCGGATGAACCCTCGCTACAGAGCTTCGAGTTCACCGACAGGCATAACACACTCAAACAAGCTTGACCTGACGCTTACCTTGAAGCCGGACGTCGCTCTGTGTGCTTGAGTGGAAATTCTGTTCTGTATTTAAGCTTACCCTTTCGGGTCTATTCCTAATAAGAAGTCCTAATCAAGTATACAAATATCAAGTGAACAATGATCCGTTATGGATCTTCTTGCATGCCAAGCGTCGTCTGCACTGTCGCATGATCATCTTTAACGGTCCGCGCCTTGTCCCAGACGGTTAACGTGTCTTCCAAAGGTCGCTGAGTATTCCGCGAACTCATCCCAACCGCCACTGAGGGTTCGTACCGTAGATGGTCCGCTGAACGCGAATCCGGCCAGTCCATTATTAATAATAAGGACAGCCTGGATTCAGTGACATAGGGCCGTATCCGATACTTGTTGAAAACTCGGAGGTGACGCCGTCGAGTCCCTTGCACCTTGGCGTCTCCGTACATCACCCGACCGAGGGTTCGTCGCTTGAACAACTTGGGCGGTGTCACGTCTTTGTCGACGGGTGATAATCCGCAACCACGGAGAAATCACTACACCACAACTGCCCCTGTCGCAATGGAAGCCACGGTACTGGTGCCCGTTGTGACATTTCTTCATTCTTCAATTCACCATCTCGCCACCGTATGTCCAAGCGTCTGAATCGAGCCGTGTCCGACGCTTTTTAGCGTCTCAATCCTCGTAGACGTCGCGAACGTGAACAGCTGGAGGTACGTCAGCTCATCCTTCTCTTGAATCATCGGCACCTTGCTCATCATCTCGCATTACTCGACTTGTTTCTCAGGAGGGCAAGGCCGAGGGTTCGAACGTCCCTCAGTCTGCTACACTTCCTCCGACAGCGGCGTCATCAACTGGTCCTTCGGCGCTTCCTGCCCCAGACTCTTCACTCCCTGCGGTAGCTCCTGCAGCACTCCCCGTCGTCGCTGAATCCGCGGAGATGGCTCCTGCTGCTCCTCCTGCGCCTGCTGGTGGTACACCACCACTCACCGAAGATTCGCTGCGCGCTATGCTGGCTGAAAGTACGGAGGCATCGGTCGATCACATGATGACCTCGATAATTCCGTACTTGACTGCAATGTCACGTCACCAAGTGCAGCTCAGCGTTGCGCCTCCTCTCCACGACGATGTACACACTCAACGTCGCCTCGAGACTGCTGTTGGTTTCGATGATGTCCTCGCTGCATGTTCCACGACGTTCTCCAGCATCTCAGCTAACTGTTGAGGGGTCCAGCGAAGTTTCGTTTTCAGTGGTCGCTCCCCGGTCGGCATTCATGTTTCTTATTCTTAATCCACTTCCACAGCGTAATCATGTTCATGTTGTTCTTCAAATGCATATACAATTTGTTGTTGCAGTAACGTTCTTCGTCTGTTACCACAGGCTGCATCGCCCTGTGGACAGTTCACACGTGATCCAGTCACGCTAGCCTTCGTCCGCCACTTGCGCCATCTGCAGCCGATTCTCGCTCTTCTTGGCTCGCAAATAGTCGTACAGCAGACCTCCACAAGACAAGTTTGATGATGGTTCCCAAGTTGTATCTTCATAGCCCACCCACTTGACTTTGAACTCGCGTACAGCACGCTCCGTGCTCGTCGTCAGTGGTGTTCTGTCGTCGAGGATGGCCTCGACTTCATATTCACCGGCAACTTGATCTGGTTCCCAGCTGTCCTCAGGCAGTAGTTCCTCATCGAAGTCGAGTCTTGCTTCATTAGTCGCGTTAAGTACCAACCGAGTATTCGGTCGACTGTTGAATTCGTTGACAGCCTTGAGTCTTGACACACTACTGGGTAAAAGCGAAACCCACTTCGATCAGGCAGTTCCAGCTCGTACGCAAACTCTTCCACCTTGCGCTTGATCCGAAAAGGTCCATGCCATCGGTGAGCTAATTTCTTCGTCAAGCCCGGTTTGACGCGTTCCATGTACAGCCACGCCTGGCTCCCAATCTCAAAAAGAGATCTCGGTGGAGCTCTTGCAGGATCTTCCATCTCTTCCGAAGCTTCTGGAGGGTCCGCCGAGTCTTCGTTTCCACTTGGTTGAGGTACAGCAGCTTTTTCCAGTCGACGCAGCGCATCATTATGCTTTTTAGCCCTTCGCTCCTTTTCTACCGCCTGATAATCCTTGGCCATAGTGAGGGCGACCTCATGTTGTCGATTGATCTCACGCCGCCACGCCAGTGCGTCAGACTGCTTGCCGAGTCCTCGTTTGAGTGATGACGACATTGCCCGCAACGTCGACTGCGCATCTCAACCATGAACGAGGTAGAACGGCGTTTCCTTCCTCGTAGTGTCTTGAGAAGTATTAATAGCAAATACTAGCTTCTCCGCGATTTCGTCCCAATCTTGCTGTAGAGGGTCTTCCGCGTACACCCGTACGGACCCCATCACTGACTTCACCGGGCGTTCCTGCTGTCCATTAGCCTGTGGCCGATAGCTCAAAGTCGCTCTTGATCTTGACTGCATCATCTCTGCGAACGCTTGGAACACCTCGCTCATGAAGCGTGGGTCGCGGTCATGCCTTATTAATGATGGGGCTCCGAACCGTCGGTACACACATTCTTCGAGCACTTGGGCAACACTCAGTGCAGTCGTATCTGACATAGCCTTGGCAATAACGAATCCCGTGAACGAGCACTGAAATAGGAGCAACGCCGTGTTGCCCCTGCGAGATTTCGGTAGTGGGATCACAAAATCCATCGAGACGATCTGGAAAGGTCGTTCGGCGAGTACGTTGCCAGGTGAGTATCCACGAAGCTGCGGACGGCTTTTACTCGAGCTGCAATCTGGACATGACTTCACATGCTTCTCCACGTCAGCGTACAAGCCGATCCAATAATAATCGGACTTAACGCGATGGAACGTTCTCACCACACCTTGATGTCCTCCTTCCAGCGAGTCGTGACAGTTCTGCAAGACCTCTTGAATCATCGTTGTCGGTACCACAAGCCGCAGCTTGGTTTCCTCTTGCCAACCGTGGTCGTACCGACGATTCAATCCAAAATAGTGAAGCACGCCGTCTTCTGATAACACGAACCGGTCAGCGTATTTCCAGGCATTTCGAGCTTCTTTGTAACTCAGCTCTTGTGCTTGGCCCTGAAGCACCTTCTAGATGTTAAACCACTTCTGCTCCTCGTCTTGTGCCACCAGTATCCGTCTGTGTCGTTCCCGCTGTATCGCTACTGGGTCAACATCTTCCGCAATGGGAAATGCCACTGGTACAGTCTTGTGAGGATGGTCTGGCAAATCTTCGCCGAATGAATCTTCGGTGGACGTCTCTCGTCGTTCTACATTCTGTTCTTGAGCTTTTGAGACATCCTCCGAGTGTTCATCTGCAAACCTGACGCGTTTCTTGGCTTTCGTCTGTCGCCGAGTCATCACTGCTATATTACCATAATCGCACTTTGGTGAGCTGTAATCAACCACGAAATTTTCGAAAGTTTTCCACTTTGAAGACTCGCTGCCTGACAGTACATGTACTTGACGCTCTGCTCCTCGTGACGAAACATCTACCGAGTCTTCATCCGGCTCGTAGATCATTTCCTGGATGCGGTTCAGCGATGCCAATTCCGACTTGCGAGTTTCAGCCAAGATTACCCGACTGACCTTCGATTCCAGCGCTTCAGTGGCTAACGAATCCGCGGCCGCGTTGTATTCTCGTACAACGTGAAGATATTTAACTGATCGAAGCTTGGCCGTGAGTTCCTTGTGAGTATTCAGCAGTGCTAGCAAAGTTTCCTTCCTGCATGCGATCACCCC